TGCACCTTTTTGTCTTTCGAAATTGCTTGGAGGTTATGTATGAGAAATTCTGCAATAAAGACGGAACAATTAGCTAATCGAAAGGCTATAAAGCGAATGAATCGTTGCAACTAGATTATAACTCAAAGTTATTATTGCGGTTATTTCGACGATAAAACCTTGGAAAAAAGTAGTCAGCCCTGTTTTTAGCACGGGAGCATCTCGAATAGGAATTTTATTTCGACGAATTTATGTCGACGCGTACCTCGCTCGATCACCCATTAAGATATAACGCGTGAATCTCGCATGTATAATTTATGCGATGTTTATCGTGCGTGCGTAAACAATTCTTTAAACCCGCAAACGCGTTAGCATAATTCAAACGAATTTGTACATTGTTTGTTCTTGGCCTTCCCGGGACAGAATATCTCTTTCGCGCATTACTGCGAAACAAAATTCGAATTTGATATAAACATTCGACTTTTTTCTTCTGCTGCGTCGCATTAAGTAACTAATATTCAAAATATAAAGAAAAAATATTTTTGAAGTATAAAAAGAGACAAAAAATTTTTCCGAAAAAATAAGAGTACTGCGAAAGCAGCAGGGCGAAATCGCAACTCGCGAAATGGTCGCGTTAATGAAAATAAACAGGCCGACTTGGCGCGAGAAAGGACGCCGAGGATGAAGCGGTTTCGAGACCCTCGCTTGAAGCTTAATTTAAAAGCGCGATCAATAAAAATGTTACAAGAAGCCACTTTACACTTGGCTACAAATCTCTACAGATTAGCTTGTTTGTTCTCTTTCCTCCATTAAATGCCACTTCGTTACCAGATTTATAGATTACAGGTAGGTTAGTTTTCATGTAAAAACGCTCCCATTCCGGGGCGACCATGTTTGCACACGTGAAAGAACTAATTATGTCTTCCTGCGCTGTCTCATTGCGCATCAAACGCACGTACGCAGGGCCCGGTAACATTTTATTCGTCGAGCAGAGTGGAAAATTGTCGGTGAGACCGATGACGGAGGGTAGAAATTACGTTACATGTTAACGATAATTTAAGAACAAGTGGAAACCTGATGGTATTATAGGATGCTCGTGTACGGTTCGGCTTAACGATTTAATAATTACGCGGTCCCCTTAGTACCCCAAACAACACGATCATTAAGCACGACGTAATTCGTTGCCCTCGGATTTGATATGCAACCGGCTCAACGAAGACCTCCACTGTTTGCTTTCACATTATTATTACCGCGTAACAACATAACGATGCGAGGAAAGCGTCTGGTTCGCGTCGATTAGTGCGACAGGTATGCGATAATCACGGTCTCTTTGCTCGAAACCGCGTATTAACCTATTTCGCGCGACTGTTGGTCGCCTCCCGCGCATTTCCAGCGAAAAATTCCCCGCGCGCCACATCACGTCGTTGATTGGTGGAAAAATCGCGGTAAACGCCGCGGCGGAAACATGCAGACGCCGCTTGCAGCGCCACCTGCGCAACGCGAAACGCCGCAAGAAACTTTCCGCGATATCTTCCGCACACCGATTAACGACGAAGATTTCCGTAAAAGAACGGCGCCTGCGCGTTCTGCCACTCCGAGCGGACGAATTCGTGTTAACGCGTCGCGAGACGAACAGAATGTCCGTCTGTCGACTGTAATTTCCTCGTCGTCGTTATCTCGCGTTTCGAACTCGGTTTATACCCCTCGGTAAACCGACCGTGTAGCAAAGATCGTCCTCGTGTCATAGGTGATCCTTTTTCTCAGACTGAACTTTTTGTACCGAGCAAAAACACGTCCGGCCACTTTGTCGCTGTTTGTTCCCTGTGAAAAATTCACACGTCCTCGCGTCTCACTCAACGGCGATTTTATCAATTCGAACGATGCCTGAGAAGCGTTTAGAGCGCGTGTCAAGCTGTTGATAAATGTATCTGATCCGTGGTAGTTACTACGTTGAGTGATACAGTGCTGATAGATATTAGTTTAACGAATCATAGAAAGATACAAAGAGTTTCATTTCGTAATTTAGAATCTAATATCTCGATAAATTAACCGGTTCATCAGTGGAAATGAAAATATTCGCAAAATCACTCTATTCCATTTCTTTATTATCGCAGTCATAATTTATTGCTTCACTAATAAAACTTTATAAAGTTATATAATTACGATTGAATATCTGGATTCATTTCACATTTTAAAAGACACCATAAAATTATGGATTAATATCATCGTAATTATTGGAATCTAGATGGATTATACCTCATCTATAACAATACAATTTAATTACAATCTCTTCCATGGTGGATCTTAAAGTTCAAGTAAGTTCAGTTAACTTTACCCATACCATTACCTTTCCTCTACGCGTAACAAAGACAAACAAAAAAGAAAGAGATATTGGTATTTCGAATCTCACCTATCCGAACGCGTCAAATCCAAATGGAGCTCGTCGGTTCGCGAGGAATTTTAATTAGCTATTCCTAGGTATCCCGCGATTCGATTATCGATTCCTGCGAGTGACGCGAGTCACGTAAGCGTCGGTCGATAAATTTCGCGGTAGCCGCGACGCGCGAAACACTGCGTCGTCGAAGAAATTTACGAGTCGGAATCGGTGTGTCGTTTAAAGACAAAGCTCTAGTGTCTTCTACGAGCGTTTTGCGTTCGACGTACTAGTATGTATCGTAAATAAACCGACGTACAAGATTCGTTTAAAGCATCGTTAATGGAATGCCTGTGTCGAGAGTTAATTTGCGCGCGATACATTTACGAGACGTTTGTACACGATCGTTAATACGATGAACGCGTCAGTGAACTTACCACCGAACGAACCTTTTCATCGGTTTCGCAAGACGTCGCGAAAGCTTCGAGAAATCGTTTGGATGCCTCCATCTTATATTTCCAAGACGATCACGTTTATTCTTATTGCCTGGCATGGCTCTTTATATCGATGCTCTTCGAAGTAGAAGTCGAAACGGCCGAATGGAACAATACGTCACATAACACGTTCCGTGGATAACCTCACTTGTTGCACGATGGTAAAGTTTCTTTCCATACGAAATATTCACTTTGTGTTTCTCGATCAATTTCACGCTTTGTTCTTTCAGATTTTCTTCTACACATCAGCACTATTCGACAAAGTCGACACTAAAACACGCGTATACGATAAAACAATTGCAACCCCGGTAAACACGTCGGACATTGTTGCGAACGAAGGCGGTAAACTGACGAACTAAACAACGACTCGAGCGCTACCTATCCTAAAATAATGCAGATACCACTAATACCGATATTATCGGAAATTACATGTATCGACATGGAAAATGAAACGTGCACAGGTTATGTATGATAAATAATCGTGTACAGATATTTATGAAAATTGGTGAACATTTATTAATGCTTGTACCACGTTAAAGCACGGTAGGCGATTTTCGTTTTAACGTTACCAGAAAAAGAGCAGGATATACTCGATGATTTCATGTCTGCTCATTTACGAACATACGTATCAACGTTAACATCTTCACTTTACCACATCGGTAGTCTTTAATAATGATATTAAAAGGTCCTTTGGAGGTTGGTCAGAGTAAGATGAAATATAGTTAGTAATTACAATGTTCGACCGTAATATTAATCGATTACTTTTTACAGGCTGACTGGCGTGCTGGTTAACGCGTTATCTAACCGGAACTCTTTCCTTTTCGTCATTCGTGTGTAACGAGGTAATCACGGCGAGCGATTACTAAATAAGCAAACAACAAACAGGCGGCAGCCGACGGCAGCTGCTTTCCGTGAAATTAATCCCGTGCATGCGGCAAGTGGCCAACCGTGTACAAAGGATATCCATAACTCTGTCGATAATTTTCGGATTCCTGATTAATTGCGTGCCCCCACGGCGCAACGACACCCAACCGACGACACGGTTTACTCTGTTGACACTTTTGCACGCGATAAATCATGCGAGTCACGAGGAGTTGCGGGAACCAGTCGCCATTGATCCCCGCCGATACATTCTCGTGAAAAAAATTCCTTTGTTTTTACAGAAATTTTCATACGAATTTTATATATATATATATTCTTTTTTTTTTAGATCAAAAGCAAAATATAAAATTGTGGAATTCTTTTGGAAAAAATCCATGGAACTGAAGAGATAGACAAAATTAATTAGAGGAAATTTATCGCGCCGTCTAAAGCGTGTTAAAGCGATAAAGTTCGGGGAAGGCGACATGTGCGTGTTCGAAATTGTTAATCGTATATATAGCGTCGCAGTTGGAACTTCGTTAAACGAGAAGACCTCATTCGTTCACGATAATTCAACGTTACCACTTTCCATGGTAATTTCAACTTCATTGTACGCACCGGTTAATACAGCGCGATAACAGATTTTGCTCCCTCGATATTTTATCCAATTATCGCGTAATTTTGCGTTTCGCGAAACGTGATCGTGGATGTGATTTATTTAACCTAACCCTCTGGCCACGCGACGCGCGCCGTCATTCGATCCACGTTAAGAGATTTTAATTCCTACCGGTGTGCTTTCTGCAAAGCCGCTTAATGAACACCTCGATGTCGGCTTTCGATAAATCAACTTCGTCGAATATAATTTTCGAAAATTATCAGGCAAGCAGAAAATCAAAAAATAAGATGCATCCTCGAAATTAATCTTCTTGAAAGAAATTTAAGACGCATCGAAAATATTTTTAATTTCATCGAAGAATAATAAATTTGGTTTCCTAATTCATAATTATGACAAAATTTCGTTCAAAAAAATTTGAAAACGACAGGATTAAATTTCGGAAAAGAAATGGAAACTGGCATCAATTGTCTCTGACGCATGCGTAGTGCTCCCGCGAATTTCGGTGGCAGCATACGTCGATAAAGAAATTTGTTTAAATATAAAAAAGAAATCGAGTTGATACCGATCGATTCCTAATCGCTTTTAAAAATAAATTTTTCAAATTTTGTATCGATACTGAAGCATTGCGTAGAAATCATAAATCGAGAGATTGGATCGGAAAAATGACGGTACGTACCAGTGGTGAATCGTATCGTCTCGATGGACACGTGGTGACGGTGGTGTGGTACACTATTCCGAAACACCTGCGCGCACGTTCTCCGCACAAACGATCGCGACGAGGATGCGACACACTGGATATCTCGGCACTGGAAGCAGGCTCAGCCTCCCCCGCGGCCACCTCCTTTCAAACAGGCGACGTTCGCGTGTGGCGGTGGCGGCGGCGGTTCATCAGCTCCGCCGGTTCATCACCTAACAGTTCACTTTTCGCCGGAAGTGCCTATGTGGATCACGAAAATGCGCGCCTCGAAAGGAGCTCGTGGGGGAGGGCCCGATATGCGCGAGTAGGGGGAGTGTGAGGGACCACCGCTAGACGGCCGCGGCAGGGGGTGGGGGAGAGAAATCGACAGAGAAGCAGAGAAGAGGAGGAAAAGAATCGCGGAGGAGAGAAAGCGA